TAAGAATATACTCTTAATTTATTCTAAGAGGTACGTTGGAAATTACTAAACCTCTCCAGCAACATAAAATAAGTTTCAGAAGCTCTTGTTTGAGTTAGCTCAGGCTAATACTTTGATTGCTGAATGCCTCAAAACATTACAAGAGACAGAATTAATGTCCCCTCTGCTTTCTTTCAATATTGCTGTTACTGTATTTATGGAAGGAAGGGACTTCACTCCTCCTTGCTTGATAAAATACCCTGGTACATGTGCTCCCTGAAGCAGGTTCACTGCTGTGCCAGCATTATCAGCTAAAGGCCAATTTAGACCATTTTAACGACACACCGCCATCTTCTTTTTGAGGCACTTAAATATAAATGCTTTTTTGGCTACAGCAAATGACTAGAATTAAAGTACAGCCATAGTAGGGAAAAATAATTAAGAAGAAAATTATAGTAAGAGAAAAAATGACTTATTTATATACTTTGAACTCACATCTGCTTTGCAATTAGTGTTTCCTTACAGAGTTTTCATTTCTAGCTGTCCATACTAGTGACATGGAAATACTGAAGTGTTTGAAGATCACATTATGCATCACTTGTAGAGACACAAGTGAGGTCAGCTTTGGTGAATAAACTAATAATGGAGAAGTTGTATTTGCTCTAACTGAGAGATATAAAATGGAAGAACATCACATCAGGATCTGAAAAAGGCTGTTCCTTCATTTAAACTATTGGGTGGTTAGACTTTTTATTGCTAGTGCATCAAGTTTTGGTAACAGTTGGAGAAGTGTGTATCCCTTTGTTATTATGTTACTCAGCACTATAGAATTCAACTGCTTGTACCCAAATCAGTTCTTAAAGCATGATTCCCATCACAAAACCATAATTGTCTGTCTCTCTTTGTGCAGTTTGGTACTGAGGTACCCTAATGAATATTTGTGTGGGGAAGTTTGCAGTGTTTGCCTTCACCATGGTTAAAACAGAAGGGTATGCCCAGGAAGAATGTAGTTTTAGAAAAAAAATAGGGACTATTGCCAGAATTGGGCTTTTCTGTTCATAGCTTACAAGATGCACCTTGTCATTACCTCAGTTAATAGTATGTCATATCACAGGTATGGAGAAAAGAGACCAATTTAAAACAATACATTTTTGCAAATGTTTTAAGGCAGTAACTGTTCAGTTGACAGGTTTTGTAAGCATTGGAGTGCAAAAATACCTTTCTTGCTAATGATTTAGATAATGTGAATTCTTCTGAAATAAGTAGCTCAACTTTTTCATGTTGCAGAGGCGAACCATGAGGCCATGCATTAGCTAAAATTATACAGGTATATCGGGCTGATTCACATTCGGGAATTTTCCTTTAAAAATCTATTTAAACCTGTTTTATTGAAGCTAAGTTGTTATATGGCTATGGAAAGGTATAGTTTGCTCTGAATTTATCCTTGGAAGATGGGCTTTTTCCTCAGAAATTAGATAGAAAGATCCAGATGGCAGTTTAAGCCAATCAGGTGTTTAAAATATGCCCTTCAGCTGAAAAGAAGTGCTGTAGTTAAATCTGTCATTGTCCCTTTATCACTTATTGGTGCACTTGACAACTGGAATAGTGAAAGGAAGAAGCCGCAAGTTGTAATACCTAGTCAGTTTGAAGCAGAGAGTTTGGCTGGTTGGTTTGGTCATAACACGAAAACCTGACATATGGGCTAAGGACAGACATTACACATAAACCAGTTTAAGTGATCAGAAACTGGTTTAAACCTGTCACAGAACATAAGTTCAGTGCACATAAACCAGTTTCAAAATAGTCGAAACCAGTTTGAGATGATAAATCTAGTTGAGTGTAGTATCAGACTTAACTGATTGAACTCAAACTGGTTTATGCAATGTCTGTTCCAGACCGCTTAACTTAAACCAGAGTCCCCCAGCATCCCAGCTCTCTGGGCTGGGCTGTCTGCTCCAGTGGAACAGGGCTGCCCTCCGCCCCCTTTTGCTTCCCAGCCGAAGCAGGGACAGGTAGGGGTGGGGGCCTAGCCAGACACTGGCACAGGGAAGAGGTTTATTTTCCACCCCTCCCATTCTCCCCGCACCCCCTGTCCCACTGGCATAGACCTGCATGTCTCTGATGACTGCTTCAGTGGAGGGGCATGGCCAACCTCAGCAGTAGCTCCAAGTGAATTGGTCAGGGAGGGGTTTAATTCCCCTGTCCCACCAGCACAGACCTAGGCCTTCCCCCCCCCCCC